TCCCACAGAGTAGGCCTCCTCCGAATTACATCTACCGGCCAATGTCGCCTGGCTACCACCCGGAGGAGGGCCTTCTCTCTGGCTGCTCCGGCCCTCTGGAACGAGCGCCCAGTGGAGATTCGGACCCTCACCACCCTTCAGACCTTCTGCAAAGCCCTTAAAACCTGGCTGTTCCGACAGGCCTGCGGCTGACGAGTTCCCATCCCCGCTCGAACTGTGTGGCTGTTGATTGTTTTTAAATTCTTTCTGTAGTTGTTTGTTGTGTTGTTTCTTTTCCCTTGTCTGTATTTCCCTCCCTTCGATTTGTGAGCCGCCCTGAGTCCCTCCGGGAATAGGGCGGCATATAAATACAATAAATTCAATTCAATTCAATTCAATTCAAGAAATGCCAGCCAGAATAGCTGTGTTAGTTCACAGCTATTTTCCCCTTCACACATAAATGATATATCCAACAGGAGGAGAGGAGATAATGCTTCCTCCATCTTTACTTTCTTTGTAACTCTGCCATGTTACGTTCTTTTTTTTCCTAAACAGGGGATTGAATTTACCTCAGGAGAAACAGAAAACTTTGCCCTTATCTGAGTGGAGTGATCAACTTCGAAAGTTTTGGCCCATGACTCGCAAAGCCTTGGAGGAGCCCATAAGGCTCCCAAAAACCAGGCTGATAAGAAGAGGGCTAAGCCGAAAGAATACAAAGTTGGGGACTGAGTGTTTTTGTCCACCAAGTTTCAGCAAACCACCCAAAAGTCGAAGAAGTTGGGGGCGAAGTATGTAGGTCCGTTCCCCATTGTGAAAATCATAAATCCTGTATCCGTCAGATTGGAGTTGCCTAAAAACCTTAGTAGGATTTATCCTGTGTTTCATGTGAGCCTATTGAAACCGGAACACACTTCTTCTCTATGTCCACTACGCCCCCCGGCCCCTCTTCTTATTGAAGGAGAGCAACATTTTGAAGTTAAAGATATCTTGGATTCTTGTTAGGGCTCCCAGACTTTTGCAAAAGTTCTACACCAAAGATCCTGGTAAGCCTTAATGTTATTTGACATGTGCATACTTAAACTCAAAGCATACTATTTAGTATAGAGGTGACCTCTAGTTGGATCACTTACCTATTCCGTGCAGGAGACTTCCCTGTTTCCTCCTGAACTGATCCAAGACGTGTTGATAAGGTAGAAGATGAAGAATCTGGGTGAATCAAGCTGCAAGTTAAGGATATTACATTTAAGCAGCAGTTAACATGCCCGGAGTCCTCCGGGATTGAGCGGCTTATAAATCTAATAAATTGAATTGAGTTGAATTGAACACTTCATTGGAGTAGTTAATAAGACCCATGGGGCATTTCCACAGTGCCCCCACTACATGTGAATGCAGAATAATAAGCCTAAGAGGGGAAGCAGGGTCAGCTGGTGGGGGGGAGGCAGTGGCGGGGAAGCGGTTGTAAATTGGGCGGGCCAAATTTGTTCACATGACCACAGAGGCACTGCCACAGCTGTATTTCATGGACCATTTTTCCAGGGTCGTCTTAACTTTGAACAGATATATGCTGAATGAGGACTACCCATATATACTCAGAGTCCTCTTCCAATTTTCATTACCACATGATAAATATGCTGGTAGAAAATATAGTTTGGCGTTTTTGAAAAATATACCGTATTTTTCGGAGTATAAGACGCTCCAAAGTATAAGACGTATCTAGCTTTTGGGAAAGAAAATAAGGAAAAAAAATCTGCCTCTGCCTTCCAGCAATTTGCCTCCTTGTAGCAAACAGCCTGTTTCAGTTTCAGTTTCAGCACAGCCTGATTAGCACAAGAAAAAAAATCTGCCTCCCAGCAATTTGCCTCCTTGCAGCGAACAGAAAACAGCCTGTTTCAGTTACAGCACAGCCTGATTAGCACAAGCAGCTGATTGTCCGGCCTCCCGGCGATCAGCTGTTTCAAGTTGCAGGGATTTCCATAGTCTATTGCCGCCTCCACATGCCCCATTTTCAGCCTCCACATCCTGTTTTCAGCCTCCGCACGCCCTGTTTTTGGCCTCCGCATGCCCCAGAATGGGAAGAAAATGGGGTGCGCAGAGGCCAAAAATGGGATGCGGAGGCCGGAAATGGGACGTGCGGAGGTGGCAATAGGCAACGGCAATCCCTGCAGCCAGAAACAGCTGATGGTCGGGAGGCCGACCCAACCAATGATCAGCTGCTTGTGCTAATCAGGATGTGCTGAAACTGAAACAGGTTGTTTGCGGCAAGGAGGCAAATTGCTGGGAGGCAGGGGCCAAAGGGTGGGGGCTGGTGGGCGTGGCTACATTCGGTGTATAAGGCACATTCAAATTTTCACCCTCTTGGCAGGGGGGGTCTTATGCTCCAAAAAAATATGGTAATTTTCAATTTATAAGTTCCAAGGAATGAAAGTAACAGAACTGAGATCTCAGGAAAAGATGGAGCCCTGTTACAGTATTTTCTTGATGAGAAATGTCAACACTGGATTATAGAAGTCATTGAAGGGTGACTGAAATATGATCAATTTTCAATATGACAATATAGGAATTGCATACTATTGACAGAGGCCACAGTGCCCTGAAACAATGCGCAGTTAAAGAATGACAAGCTGAATATATTAATAGATAGTAGAAATACACCGAAGGGAGGAGTAGAGGGCTAGAAGAAAGAGGGGTAGAGAGGGTGGGAGAGAGGATGGGAGGGAGGGTGAGAAGGAAGGGAGAAAGAAAGAAAGAAAGAAAGAAAGAAAGAAAGAAAGAAAGAAAGAAAGAAA